AACTTCCTCAGATGCCTTGTCACCCTAAATTGCAAGGGACTTTGGTCAAGTTTAGTGGGAACATTGCTGCCCAGAAAAATATAAGCGTTTTGTTCCCGGGAAGGGAAGAGTGGGTACTGATGGGCCTTTAGCAGGCTCTGACACAAGGGAAGGTCTTCAGTTCACTGTAACAGGGAAAAAGAAAACCTGAATCAAGCTCGACACCAAACATCAGCGATTGGGATAAAAAACCAGGGTCTGTCCTGAGCTCCTCCAGGGCAGGGGCACAGCACTGCAGCATCTGAGCCTGAGCGGGGGCCCAAAACAGGCTGTGGAAGCAGTTCCCTGACGGCTCACATGGCCGGTTACACCGTGCCAGACAGACTGGGACAGCTGAGCCCGCCGCATCTCTCCTGCTGCGCCACGGCCCCTGACCCTGGTCACCTCTGACCCCGGTGGCCCTCAGAGCATCCCGGCCGCCCCTTCACTTCACTAACCCTAAGTAACCCTCCCCGCTCTCTCACAGCCTCACCCTGGACCCTGGACCCTGGACCCTGGACTGTGGATGGGGCAAGGGTCTGTGGCACGCATGGTTCTGATGGAACATCGAGAACGCAGTGTCAGGAATCCGTCTCAGAGAAGGGTCCCCAGGGGCTCCCGGAGGGCGGGCGGGCGGGCCGGGCAGGAGATGGAGCACGGGCATCCCCACGGCGGCCGGGGTGCCACCTGGCTCATTCTCGGGGTGCGGGAGGGGGCCCTGGGGGACCCGAGGGCAGTGGCCCCCGCGACACCTCAGTCCAGGCCCTTTCCTGCCTTTAATGACTGTGCTCACCTTTCCTATCTGTTGTTATCCATTTAGAAGCACTCGGAGCGTTACACAATTATTCACTTGTTAGGAACAGGATCTCCCGCATGTCTGTATTACAAGACTATAGAAAAAGGGAATTTTATACACTTATGTTCTCTGTTCATCTAGTCGGGTTTTCTTTTAGGTTTCCTGGTCTTACAACCACACCGTCTGGCAAAGAGAGAAAGTACTGCATCTCGCGATCCCGATTTCTACACTGATTGCTTTGTCCTTGGCTGAGCGGGCACAGCGCCGGCAGGGACCCGCCATGCTCTGGGGGCGCTGGCCATCAGCACCGCGGTGACCGAAGAGGCCGGCACAACCTTGCCACCCACAGGGCCTTGAGAGCAGGAAACAGGCCCCGTGATGGGTGGGGGTGGGGGTGGGGTTGGGAGAGGTGGCCCCGGCCCAGTCTGTGAGGCAAACGCCACCCCGGGAAGGCTGGCGGGAGGGTCTTCACTGCAGGCCAGGCAGCACACACCCATGGGGTCGGGAAGGAAGGGGTCTGTGGGAAGGGTGGCAGCTCCCAGGGGCCCCACGAGGGCCTGAGGCCTAGGCCCCCCGGGTCCCCGTGCCAGACGCTACTGCATGCCTGGCCCCCAGGGCCCTGTGTGCCCTGATTCCCACTGCAGCCCCGGCCACCCGCCTCGGTGACGGCCCTGCATCCTCCCTCCGGTCACAGGCCAGCAGCGAGCGTGCTCCTTTCCCTTCGGAGTGTCCTCGACAAGCGGAACAAACCATTCATCCTACGAACTCTTGGCCCCTGAGTCCACTCGGGTGGAGTGGAGACAAAACGCAAGCACACCCAAAGCCCTTCCGTTCCGGACCTGAGTGGGAAGGCTGTGTCGGGAAGAGCACGTGTGCCGTTGTTTGAGTCGCGGGCTGAAATATACATATATATACTTTAAGGGAACAGCTTTGATTTCGGCTGTACTGGGCCTTCATTGCTCTGAGGGGGCTTTCTCTAGTTGTGGCGCGTGGGGGATACTCTCCCGCTGGGGTGAGCAGGCTCCCACGGGCTCCAGGGTTCAGAGGCTCAGCGGTGCGCGGGCTTAGCCCCCTTGCAGCCTGTGGGATGGCTCGGACCAGGCATCGAACCTGAGTCCCCTGCACTGGCGGGCAGATTCCCAGCCTTTGGACCCCCAGGGAAGCTGTGGAACAGTGTCTTCTTTGAAAGGAGGACTGACGGCAGGTCTGATTATTCAGACCTGTGTGCCTCGGAGACGCCTCCTTGAAGATGACAAAGTGAGCCTGTCCCTCCAAGGAAAACTGATGGTGCTTGTGACCAACTTCAAGCTTTCATCAAAGACCGGGATTTTGAGAAAACTTGCACCCACCACCAGGAGCTTGCCAACTCACCAAACCACAGATGTTTTAGCTGAGACTGACAGTGAATTCACACGGGGACACTTTGACACAGGACCATCGACTTGGGGCAGACCTGGGTGCTTGGTGACCGTTATCTTCCAAATGCCCAGCCTGTGATGTCATAGCCACAAGTGTGGAAAAGACTGGTCCAGGTGTAGGATGGACAGATGGATTCCCAGGAGACACTGGTGAAAGCTCATTGATAGGTTTTCAGCTTCCACGCGGTAACCAGCCCACCAGGAACCACCGTGGTGGGGTCTGGGTGTCGTCAGAAGGAAGAACACCCGTGACCCACAGGTGTTGTTGAAACCTCCCCTTCTTTTCCAAACACGTTTCCACATGAGGCGCGATTTCCCAGATTCCCTCACTTTCCAACCAAGCCATGTCCCATAGCGGCCGCTGACTGCTCTTAGGCCAGAGATTTGAGGAAACATGACACAATGCCACTCTTCTCGCTAAAACTCCTTGTTTAGGAAAACATGTTTTCCATGCAAGTGGTACTTGTGTTACCACTGTAATGAATTTACTGCTATCTTGAAACAAACATTTCTAAATCTTCGGTTTAATTTCTTAGTTTCTACTTTTTAAAGTAAGTATTTTTATTTGGCTGCACTGGGTCTCAGTTGCAGCGTCTGGGATCTAGCTCCCTGGCCAGGGATCGAGCCCGTGCCCCCTGCGTTGGGAGCACAGTCTTAGCCACCGGACCACAGGAAAGTCCCTGCTGTGTGATTCCACTGTCCTTCCCGGGGGTTTCAGGGTGTGACAGCCCTGAAGGGTTGCATGCCTGTCAGGGTTCGGGCCAGAGCCTCGAGTTCCACCAGGCCAGGGCCCTGTGTTGGTTGAACCAGTGAGTTATCACGCTGGTGTCTTGTCTAAGAGCTAGAAATTCATCGGGCAGCCCCAGATGGCAGCCCTGGACCCGGGGCACCTCCAGGCTGACCTCTACAGCGGGTGGGCGCGGGAAGCAGGCGCAGGCACCACCGTGCCCGCTGGGCAGCTGGTTCACATGGCAGGGCTCCACCCCCTTCACCCCGCAGCACAGTCCAGCCCCAGGCAGGAGGGTCCAGAGTCCAGCTTGTGCTCTCTGGGGGTGGGGGGGGGGGCCGGGGGGGCCGTCCTGCCAGCCCAGCTCCACCCAGCCCCTCCCTCCTGGGGGCAGGCTTCAGGCTGGCCTCCGCACCCCTGGGGGGGGGGACCTGGAGTCTGACATCAGCTGAGTCCTGGTCACTACCTGGCTGCCCTCAAAGGTCGAGGGAGGGTCGGGTGCGCTGGTGGCCATCACACCAGGGGGTCTGCAGCAGCCTCACGGCAGGGCCCCAACTTCCACTCCCCACCCACAAAACACCAGAGGGAGCACGTCTAGACAGTCACCTGCCACTCGCCCCCACCCGCCGCGTCCTCTCAACCCTGCTGATCAGCTCAGCGACTTGCCTGTCCCGGGTGGAGCAGACATTCCGTGAAAGGTCCCTTCCACCGGGCAGAGCCACAGGGACCCCAAGACAGAATCAGGGCCATGGGACCAAGGACAGTGACGGATGCTCTGTGCAAACAAGCAGGCCCTCAGACAGATTTTCTTGCCCAGGTTTTCTCTAGGCAAGAGCGTGAATGACCCCACTGTTCCTACAGGTAGAAGCCACAGCCAGCGGCCAAGCCGCCTGTTCTTCGTGACTTGCCGGCCTCTCACTAGGTGCCTGCCTGAGCTGAAAGTCATATGGAAGTGTTTCCTCTCCACCGTTTGCATGGCGTCCTCAGAGCTACGGAGTGGCCACGACCCCAGCCATGTTCCGAGTGGGACTCTGAAGCTCGGTTCTCAGCTCCCCTGGGGGCCTCCCTTCACCGGCCACCTGGGCCCAGTGACTCAGGAGGAACTGGTGGGGGGCGGCGCTCTGGACAGGCTCTCTCACCTGTAAGCCCTGCACCCCACCCCAGCCCCTCTCCCTCCTGGGAAGGCAGCCGGCTCCCTGTGTGCCCCAGCTGTGTGTCCAGCCCCTCCGGGCCCTCGAGGCCTGCAGGAAGTCCTGCCTTCCCAGCGCTCTCACACTTGCTGCTAGTCTGCCCCTCCACGTGTCTGCTCCTGAGCTCAGCGGGCTCTCCCACCTGTCCCGAGTTGATAGATGTCACAGGGTGGGGCGCATGGGCAGGATCATCGTTTTTATTGAGCTGTTGCTGATGGGGGTCCAGAGGCCCCACATCCCGGAGTGGGGGTGGGGTGGTAGATAAAAGGCCACTGGAGGGCGTCCAGCCCCCTGGGGTCTCAGGGCCAATGCAGGCCCAGCGAGGGGGCACCTGCACGCACACCTGCCACGGAGCCGCCTCTACCTGCGTCGTCCTCGGAGGGACGGCCGGCCACCTCCCTCCACGCCCAGCCGTGAGCCCTGCTCCCAGGAAGTTGTGAAAAGCACACGATTAACGTCAAAAGCCGCTTCCAGTACCGTCGACACTGACAATACCGGAGGGCAGATTCCAGGCGTTCCAGAGGGGCCGCCGTGCAGTGACCCGGAGTCCCGGGGCCGGATGTCCAGGGAGGGCCTTTACGCCGGGGTCCCCCGGCCGAGGCAGGTTAGTCTGGGCCAGGAGCGGCCGCAGGGGCAGGGCCGTCCAGGGGGCGTGTCCCAGGCTGGGGGCGTGGTCCAGGTCGTAACTGTTCCGGGGGCGGGGCCGTTCCGGGGCGTGGCCCAGGCCGGGGGCGGGCCCGTTCCGGGGCTGGGGCCCAGGCCTGGGCCTTTCCAGCGCGAGGACCGGGTCAGGGGCGGGGCCCAGGCTGGGGGCGTGGCCCAGGCCATTCCGGGGGCGGGGCCCGGGCGGCCTAGACGCCGGACTTGGCGATGATGCGCTCGAGCAGACTCATCATTCGCTCCTGCAGCTGCAGGCTCTGGGCCTGCAAGACGCTGTGCTGGTCCAGCGCGCGGCGCACCTCGCGGCACGTCTCCTCCAGGGCGCGGCTCAGCCGGCGCTGCTCCTCCAGCAGGGCCTCCAGCAGCCGCAGCTTCTTCCTCTGCAGATGGCCGCCCTGCCCCTTGCGCTTCTTCACGGGCCGCTCCTCCGACCTGGAAGGACAGTGCAGTGTAGGGACGGCTGGGCACGGGACCTCGGGCCCTGCCTGACCCTCCCGGCCGTCCCCGGACACTCGGGGGGCCGGGCTCTCCCTGTCATGACAGCATTCCCACACCCACTGACCTGGGTGGGCAAGGGGTGCTCATGGCCGGGGGGAGAGGACGCCCAGAGAGGGATGAGGAAAACGGTGGGTGGGAGGGCCTACAGGGCAGACACCGCCAGTTTGGGCCTGCCTCCAGCAGATAGGGGAACCCCTGCCTCCTGGCAGCCTGGAAGGGGCCAGCACACCTGGGGGTGAGAAGACTGGGACTGCAGGCCAAGGGCGGGGCCTTAGAGGCCGGGCTCCCCTCCAGGACAGGAATCTCTCTAGGGTCAGGGCTGAAGGCAGCCCGGCTCTCTGCTGTGAGTGGGGCCCCCAGGGGTGGCAGGGAGCTGCCAGGCGCCCCTAGGCCCTGCCTGTCCCCAGCCTAGGCCCTCTGCTTCTGTGCAGGATTGTGGCCCAGCCACCCTCGGGGGCAGAGAGCAGAGCCTGGACTCTGGAGGGAGAGGGGCCCCGCAGCCCAGCCTGGCACAGCACCCGGGCAGCCATCAGTCTGGGAAGTAGTTTCAGCCCACGGAAGCAACTGTCGGCCAGTGGCAGATCCCCTGCACCCCAGCCCGGCCACCAGCAAAGGCGATTCTGTCGGGGGTCTTCACTGAGAAACCACCCCCACCCAGGGAAGGGGCACTGGACAACCGGGCAGCAGCCCCCAGATTGTGGGTGTCAGACCAGAGGGGCCCCTGAGATGCCTTCCTCACCCCATCCCCGACAGACGTGAGACTGAGCTTGGGGGAGGCAGGACCAAAGCGCAAATGTACACTCTTCCTGGTCTCTTCTCCACTGGTCAACTCCTATTCACCCGTGAAAGCCCAGCCCAACGTGACCTCCTCTGGCTCCCCGGCCCCACACCACTCCTATCTGAGGGGGGTCTTGAGGCGGGGTCAGCTCAGGGCTTTCAAGATGCCATGGATGGCAGGGGGGCTGGGCCCCCACTGCAGCCAGGCTCCAAGGACACCGTGCAGGCTCAGCCTGACGCCCCCTCCCTGGTTTTGAGAGACCAGCCAGCCCGGCAAGGCCAGGGAGAAGGGGGCCCCAGGGCATGGTCTGCTTGGGGTGGGGGAGCTCGAGAGTCAGACACCGAGGAGAGGGCAGGAGGCTCGCCTCTGACCCCCAGCCTTCGCCAGAGAAGGTCCTGATTTATCCCCATTTTACAGACGGAGACCGAGGCCCAGAGAGATCACGGACTTTCCACACAGCTGAGCAGCGGGGGCACAGGAGACGTGCTTGGGCGGTGAACACGACGGCCCAGGCCTCGGGCCCACCTGCCTCCCTGCCTCTGGCCTCCCTGTCCGGAGGTGTGTGTGTGCCGCCTAGGCCTTAGCAGCCGGCCCTGGGTGGCAGAGGTAGCCACCGCCAGGATGGCCGCCTGAGCCGTCTCGGGGGCGGGCGGTGGGGCGGGAGGGGGGCGCGCACACACCTGAACTTAAGGGACAGTAAGCTGGAGGAGCTGTCGGAGCCGTCGTCCTGGAAGCGGCCTTCGTAGGAGCACTGGTTATACGGTAAGTACAGAGGGGTGGACTTAGCAGACGGCGACAAGGACGCCTCGGTCTGGGACGTGGAGGGCCCCGGCTGCTGGCCGTCCGGCAGTTTGCCATCACAGGACTCGGGGACCTTGGCCAGAATCCTATCAATGGCTAGGTAATAGGGCCAGTCGGGCGGGACGGACTCGCTATCTGTCATGCATTTTAATTTCCTGAAACGAGAGACACAAGAGCCAAGGGTGAGAAACGGCTGCTCCTGGCCCTGCCTGCCCGGCCCCTCTGCAGAGGGGCGCTCAGGGGCACCGGACCCAGGGAGCCACGTGGCACGGGTGTGGGCCACTCCCAGCCAGACAGGCCTCCCCGGAAAAGTGGGCCAGATGAGACTGGGTCAGAAAGAGGTCAGGCTCGGGACCCTACATGGCTGTGGGTGTCGACAGGCCCCACAGGCCCCAGTGTCAGGTTGGCATCTTGAGCTGACCCCTATGAGTCCTCTCTGCTTTTCTGGAGTTTCTAAACTCTCTGCAATGAACAAACGCTGCTTTTTAATAAGTCAATCAGCAATAAGAACATATGTGGTATAATACCACTATAGGAGTAAGATGTGATGTAACGTGTAACACGAATGTCAGATGAGGTCAGGTAACAAGCGTGTCCCTCTGAAGAGGACGCCCTGCAGCAGGAGCTCAGGCGGGACGAGCGCAGGCCTCGGCGGTCGCGGCTCGTCTCTGCCACTGCGCTGTGTGAGTCTGGGCGGGTCCATTAACCTCTCTGAGCCTCGTGTCAGTAAAATGGGGATGATCCAAGTCATGCTGGGAAGACTGGAGCAGACAACGCCCGGTGCCTGGCAAACAGCGAGCTGTCCAGATGACATTCTTGGTACGGGGGCGGGGGGGGGCGCCTGACGCCCCCAGCGAGGGTCTGCATCTGCCTACGGTGGGCCCGCGCCCCTCCCAGGCCCTGAGTCCTGCCCTCCCCTGCAGACAGGCCCTGTGGTCCCCGGGAATCGGCTGTCCCCTGGGAGGTAAGGGAAGGGGAAATACAGCAATAGTGCATGCCCCGGCCAGGCGACCAAAGGGGCCACGGTGGGGTGGGCGTGGGCTCTCTGCCTCCCGAAACCCAGGGTCCTGAGACCCCGGCCACCACTGGCAGCCCCTCCATATTCCTGGCCCTTGCTCCTCCCTCTTTGGGGAGGACTCTGAGTGACAGGGTCCCCCACAGCAAAGTGGCTCCTATCTCCCTACAGGGTGCCTCGAGATCAAATCCCTGCCGGGGTGTGGCCATTGGTCACCCCGGTCCCTGGAGATGTGCTGACCATCTGAAAGCATTGCCCTGGTGGGAGTGTGCGACTCGGGGCAGAAACCGAGGGACGTGGGGTCCTCAGCAGGGAGCCAGGACGGGCTGCCCCGCCTCCCTGACCACAGGAGGGCGGAGGGCTGTGCTGGGGCCCGGGCCCCTTGCCAGCCCCTCTGGAAGCCCCCAGGTCCCGCTCTGCCCACCCGAGACAAGGCCCGCCCCACTGCAGGGGGCCCCTGCACACACTCCCCGGAAACAGGCTACCCCCAAGCTTCCTTCATGGACAATCTGCTTTTATACTTTAGCCATGCGGAGCAGCTGGTGGGATCTTAACTCCCCAGCCAGGACTGAACCTGGGCCCTTGGCAGTGAGAGCATCGAGTCCTAACCCCTGGACCTCCAGGGAATTCCACCAACCACCTTCAGATGAACTGTCTCCGGAATCCCCGGGGGGTCCTGTGGTTGGGACTCCTCGCTTCCACAGACGAGTGCCCAAGTTTGATCCCTGGTCGAGGAACTAGGATCCCACAAGCTGGCGGTGCATTCAATAAATGAATGAAGATTGGCTTTGTTTTCTTTTTTTAAAAAACCAAAAGCTGTGAAAAAATAACTGAAGCCTCTGCTGTGGGCGGCTCTGGGTGGTGGGGGTCAGGGGAGGTGTTGGGAGAGATGAAGAACCAGTCCCCCAGCCAGAGTGTCGGTTTGTAAGGTCCTATGTGCACGCGTGCTCTGACTCTGTGACCCCGTGGACTGCGGCCCGCCAGGCTCCTCTGTCCGTGGGAGTCTCCAGGCAAGAACACTGGAGTGGTTGCCGTGCCCTCCTCCAGGGGGTCTTCCTGACCGGGGGATCGAACCCACGTCTCTTGCATCTCCTGCACAGCAGGCGGGTTCTTCACCGCTGAGCCCCTGGGGAAGTCCTTTCCTGCTCTGGACCTTGGTGTCCCTGTTGGCGACGGGAGCTGAGAGGTACCGCTGCGTGCAAGCGCTTCATAAACTGTGACACGCTGTGCACGTGGGGCCTGGCCCCACACCGCAGGCCACCGCCTCCTCTCCTGTGGCCTCTTCAGCCCACCTCCCCTCCAGGAACGGAAGAGGATACCTCCCTGGGGCTCAGGAGGCGGCTTTCAGGATAAATAATGAATGACCCGGCCAGACGCCAATCGGAGCCATGAGTCACGGTGTCAGACAGCAGGCCCTAAAGCCGCCTGCCTCAGCCCAGCGGCCGCCTCCCTGCCCCACCCCCCTAGGCGCTGAGGGGCTGGTGGCGGGGGTGGGGGGCACACGGCTCGGCCCTGACCTCGGACCACCTTTACCCAAGTGCCTCTGAGGCCCCTGGACCCCAGCGGCCGGCGGCCTCTGCTCTGCTCTGAGGCCTGTCTGGGGGCCGGGCTGCAGGTCACACATGAGCCTCTGGACGGGCCAGGCTCAGGACTGGCTCCTCCAAGGCGGAGAAAGTTAAACTGATGCAACTGAAGCGGCCTTCGGTTGCTCAGGGCCCTGGGAGCCTCTGCACACCCCCAGGCCCCAGACAGGCTGGGAGCCACAGGCCAGGAGGGGCGGGCTCGGGGCGGGCGGGGGTCCGCTCACCCACAGAGTTGGCTCAAGGTGCCCAAGCCAACCTGCAGGGTCCCGTCCATGCCCCCCCACCCCGCCTCAGCCACACCTCTGTTCCCCTGTCCACGCCCCCCTGTCCACACCTCTGTTCCCCATCAACACCCCGCCCCCGGCTACACCTCTGTTCCCCCGGCCACACCCCCCCACACACACCTCTGTTCCCCTGCCCGGGGGTCCACGGAGAGGACGAGGAGGCAGCCTGGTTGGGACCAGCGGGGTCCTCGAGTGTCCTCCTGGGACGGCAGACCCCCCCAACACGGACAGGCTCACGGGGGTTGTGTGGGCCCAGCCCGCCCACAGGGCCCACTCTCTGTGCCTCTCCGCCTATAGCCCAGCTCCTGCTCAAACTTCACCCTGCCCGTGGCCCCCTCCACACCTGTGACCTCTCACCTGCCCATGACCCTCTCCTCCCTGGGACCCCCGGCAGATAAACCTGGGCCCCGCCCTCTGAGGTGCCGGGCACGCGGGGCAGTCCTGGAGCTGCCCCCGCCCAGGGCCATGTGCCTGGCCGTGACCCAGCCCTTTCTGAGGCAGCCAGGGCAGGGGCCCAGCGTGGGGTGGGGAGGGGGCAGAGGTGCGGACCCTCCTGGGTGCTCAGAGCCTCCACACCCCCCACACCCAGCCCTGAGGCCAGCGCTGTGCCCGCAGTGGGCTCAGTGGACGCTGGAGACAGCAGCCCGCGGGCTCACGGGCCTAGCGGTCCAGCCTCGGTCTTCCTGCCCCCCTGGCCACCAGCAGTATCCTTCACCCTGTGGGACCTTGGGGGTCTCCCAGCGCCCCCCTCACGGGGCCCGCAGGTCCCCTCTTGCCGACACAAAGCCGGGACTCCCCCGCCCGCCCCCGCCATTGTGGCCTGTCCACCCGCCCACCACCCGCGGGCCTACCTGTACTGGAAGGTCATGTTGGTGATCTTGATCTTGATCTCCTCGCCCAGCCGGCGCTCGCCCGTCATCTCCAGCAGCTTGCTGGCCATCTTCTCGTACACCTTGGCGTTGCGCTTGGTCTGCTTGAGCTCGTCGAAGAACTCCTCCCAGACGAGCATGAGGCCGCGCATCTCAGCGTCCGTCCAGTTGCGGGCCCGCCGGTGCTTCTCGGCCTGCGGGGACACGAGGTAGCCGGGCACCTCGGCCGTGGCCATGCCCGGGGCACCTGCGGGGTTAAAGAGCGCGCTCGGGGCGGGCCGCTGAGGCCTGCGCACCGCGGCGGGAGCCCTGCTCCTGGAAAGCAGCTCCTCGCTCAAAATGGGGCCTACATCTGACAGGCAGGAATTTAGTTAAAAGCTTTTAAACGGGAAACGTCATTTTGATGTCACGTTTCCATAGCAACAGAGCAACTGCATAAGCTACAACAACAGAAACCTTTTAACTGAAAGCGCAGGAATCAGGGCCGCCCTGACGGGCCATCAATACTGCAGCGAAGGGGCCAGGCCCAGAACTGGCGGTCCAGGCGCCTGGCCCTGCCTCCTGCCCCAGCCTGGCTGCCAGGCTGGCCGGCCCAGGGGCCACTGAGCGAGGCCCCTCCGCTGGAAAGACTGGGCTCGGGGGGCCAGGTCGGATCCAGGCCGCAGCCCTGGCCTCTGCCCCCACCCCGGGCCCACACTGCTGGGGGCCCAGGGAGGGCCCAAGATGCGGGGCTGGGGTGCAATGGAATGAGATAAGAGGCGGAGAGGGAGACCCAGAGACGGGAAGACAGAGGGGTGGGAAGGACAGACGGGAGACTGGCATGGGAACACACACTTGGGGACCCACAGAGGCATAGGTGTGCAACGCCCACCCGCCCGCATGCCCCGCGCATGGCCATCCTCCGGCCAACGGCTCACACTTAACAATACAAACGCCACCACCCCCAGGCTGGGCACCAGCAGCTGTAGCAGACCCCTGGCTTGGTCACTGTCCGACTGTGCCCTCCCTCAGGGGGCGCGGCTGACGGCCTGGGTGGCTTGGCACAGGCCGAGGAGCCAGTGCAGGGCTCGAGGTGGAGGGCAGCTGGGGGCAGGCAGTGCCAATGAGCATCAGGGCCCCGTGGGCTTCCCGGGCACAGAAGCCTTTTTGTCCCCTATGCCTTATGAGCAAGACTGCAGCCTCCGTGGCCTGCTCTGAGTTCCGAAGGGCAGAGAGGTTGCTGATCGGAGAAGGAGGGACAGGACAGGCCCGTCAAAATGAGCAGGAGATAGACCACCCTGCACACACTCTGAACTCGCCAGCAATCCCACCTTTTAGAAAACTTGCAGAAGCAGAAATGAAGACTTGCTACTGCTTTGATGCTTATCACAGACCCCTGCCTGACTATAACCTCTCCTACACACCCTTGAGGTGCTGGTGAAACCGCTGATCTCAGTCTGGGGCTTAAACCCACGTGGCCGGGAATGTAAACCTGGCCAAAACCCTGCTGCAGACTCAAACCCAAGTGGCCGGGATTTGAACTCGGCCAAAACGCGTAGTCTGCCAATTGAGATCACAGACCTGGTGTCAGAACCTGATGAAGCTCAGGTCCTCTGATGCCTCATCGCAGAAAGATTTCAGTGAGAGACAAAGTGATAGGTAAGAAGTGGATTTATTGAGAGAAAAACACACTTCACAGACAAGAGTGTGGACTGTCACAGAGGCCAAGTACAGCCTTGCAATGTGGTGTGGGGTTAGCTTTTCCTGAGTTAGGAAGATTCCCTAGAGAAGGAAATGGCAACCGAATTCAGTATTCTTGCCTGGAGAATCCCATGGAAAGAGGAGCATGAGGACTACAGTCCATGGGGTCGCAAAGAGTCAGACATGACTGAGCGACTAACACTCCCACATTAGTTTTTATGAGCTGGGTAATTTCACAGGCTAATGTTGTTCAGTCGCTTAGTCGTGTCCGACTCGTTGCGACCCCATGGACTGCAGCACACCAGGCCTCCCTGTCCATCACCAACTCCCAGAGCTTGCTCAAACTCTTGTCCATTGAGTCGGTGATGCCATTCAACCATCTCATCCTTTGTCATCCCCTTCTCGTAGGCTAATAAGTGGGAGGATCATTCCAACTATTTTGGTGAAGAGATTTCCAGCAGTTGGGCCACTGCCCACTTTCCGGCGTCTGATGGTCAGCCTTGGGACTGCCATGGTGCCTCTGGGTGTCGTTCAGCTTGCGATGTGTTACAATGAGCAGACTGAGGATCGTGGTCTAGGTGAAGTTGACTTGTTTGCCATCTTGGACCCACTTGATTCTAATCGGCTTACGTTGTGCCCCTGGGCTGGGTCATTCTTTCAGAGGCTGTGCCCTGCCCCCCTGCCTCCTGTTTCACTAGCCTGCTGCGTTCCTGCTTTGCCTGGCAGAGTAAAGCCACTCTTTCCTTCTCCTCCGTGACTCTGTCTCCATGTTTCTGTTTGGCGTTGGTGCACAGAGAGCCGAGATTTTGACAACAGCGTATTCCCACCCGTCCTGCAGCAGGACCACCTGGACCCAGACCTGCCTTGTGCACGGGGCTGGGTGGGGAGTCCCCTGTACCCCCAGAACACCCACAAAAAGGACTTGGTGAAGCCTTGCTGAGCAAAGGTATGAACTCTGAAAGACTGACCTCAAGGAACTCCCCTCCCTTCCCTGTAGGTCTCTTGGATTTTGCCTTCGGGCTTCCTGGCAAACTCTTACTCGTTTTTCAAAACCCTGTTCTGGCAACACTTTCTCTCTTCCTGTTCCCCTTTGGTCCTTCTTCTGGTTTTCCCTCCTGCAAACTGGGCCTGCCTTGAGCCAGCGGTTTCCCGTCTGCCCTCCATCGTGTGGCTCTGGGTTAAGAAAGCTCGCAAAGGCAGCAGTCTGAAGAATCCAAGCTCTGATGACTGCTGGGTCCTGTTCTAAGCACAGTATGGCTGTTTTCAACTTTGACCCTCATGGTACTCTCGTGAGCGAGGCTGGCGGCTGCTGTTATTCCCATTCTGCAGATAAGTAGTCTGAGGGACAGAGGTGAGGTCTCCCTGTGGGCAAGGGGCCAAGCTGGGCTCTGAACCCAAGCAGGCTGGCTTGGGGCTGGGTCTGACCTGTTCTCCCCGAGAAGCACAGGTCATGCATTCTCTGCCACGGTCCTGGGCAAGGGCACACAACCTAGTGCAAACTGCTGCCTGCCTGGGTAAATGCCCCCATTGTTTCCTGGGGGCTCTGGGGAGGTCCCCTAGTGCTGACCTCGGACAAAGTGGCCACTGGCATGGGCTGGGGTCCCTGGCCACCCCCCTCCTCAGGCCTCCACCAGCACTCAGCTGAGGCTCAGTCCCAAGGCCTTGGGGGCAGACCTCCACCTCACACCTGCAGGCTGGGCTGTGATGGCCACACGGAGCCCCTGCCCTGCCCTCAGGCCAGGGTGCCATCCGCGAGCCCCCCGGCAACTGCAGGGTTCTGGGGGGACCTGAACTTGGGGGAAGGGCTCACAGAGTGCAAGCTGAAAACCTCCCCAGGCACAGAGGGCCCTCCTTAGGCCTGCTGTGGACAGGGGAGTCCTGGCCTGAGCTGCCCAGGGCAGGGACGCTGAGCCTGGGGCTGGGGCGGGGTCTCTGGCCAGGTGCTCTCACCCTGCACCTCCAGTGTCCAGAGCTCGCCCTCTCACCCTGAGAGAGGGGCCGAAGCCCAGCTGGAAGGATGGGAGGGTTCAGGATGGGGTGGGTTGGCTGGGGCTCCTTCGTCCCTGCAGTCAGAACTTGGGGTGCAGAGGCAGCAGGGTGTCCTGGGCCGGCACCTGACCCTGTCCCTCAGCTCCTGGTGGGAGCCCCTCCCTGTTGGGGTTTCCGAAGCTGCCTGGGGACACAGGGACACTGCAGCCTGGCCAACTAGCACCTCCTGGGGAGGCTGACAGCTGCTACGCCCCTCGACTGGGCACCTGGCACACTCAGTAGTGTTTGCAGAGTGCATGAGGGATGGGAAGGCCCCCTCCTCCAGGAAGTCCTCCCCATGCCCCTCTTAGGTAAAGGATTTAACCGACCAGGTGGCCTGAGACCTGACTCTCTGCCCCCAGAGCCTGGGCTAGCCCTGACTGTCCTCCAGGTGGACGGTCTCTCAACCCAACCCCCAGAGCCGAGCAGGTCTGCCTCACAGCACTCCCCAGCGAGGGGAGGCAGGCCAAGCTCAGGATTTCAACCTGGCTCAGCCAACTACAGACACAACTCGGTCATGCCACCCCCAGCCCTGTCCTCACCGACACCTGTCTGGACAGGTGACCCCACCAGACGTGGGCTGGTGCAGAGGGCACGGCTGCAGCTCCACGGCCTTTCCCTGCCCCCCACCCTCTTGGGGCATTTGGAGAGGGTGCAGACCAGCGTGCTGGCCTGGCTGGGGTGGGGTGTGGTCATCAGGAGGTGCTGCCGCCCTAGGTGCCCGGCCTGGGCAGCCCCTGGCCAGCAGGTCCCAGTGCTTCTGCCGGGGAGGCTGTGGACCTGGGGCAGCACTGCTGGTGTGCAGGGGCCGGTGACCACCCCTGCTGGCCCCCAGCCGACAGGTCCCGCAGAGAAATGGCTGGGCTCCAACGTCTCCGCTCAGGTTTCAGGGGCGCTGGAAAGCCCTGGGTGTGGGGCAGGGGGGGATGCTTGCTTTGGACTCAAGGACAAGACGGAGGCAGGCCCAGTTCCCGGTGGCCCGTGGGAAGGCCCTATCTGCCCTCGGCGGGGGGCGGACAGGGGCTGCGTACCTTGGCACAACTGCATGGCCTGTGGGGACCCTCAGGCTCTGCGGGCCCGGGAGGCAGAGCGCCCGGGGCCGGGCGTCCGGCGGCACCTGCGGAGAGAAGGGCGGTCAGGCTTCAGCGAGCGAGTCCTGGGCACGCAGAGGAGGCCGGCGCCCTCCAGACAGGAAGGGGCATCCCTCAGGCGCCTCCAGCACCTCCGGGGAGGGGGCAGACAGCGGGGAGCCGGGCCCATCCCGGGAGCTGGGAGTCCTGACAGCAGTCTAAGGCCTCCAGCCGGGCGGAGGCGGGCAAGCACAGGGAGCGTGGCGGTGAGTCCAGGCCGGGGGCGAGCGGGGCAGGAGGGTGGACGCTGCTGGGCGCAGTGACCCGCGGGGCAGCACCGTCCTTTCCCATGTGTGTGGGAGCCCAGACCCTTAACTCTCCGTCCTCAGCGGGCACGCCCGACCCTGAGTCCAGGTCTCCACCACACAGGGTCGCCCATGCCCTGAGCACCCCAGGGCCAGGATGAGTGGAGGCCCTGCCGGTGGTTCGTCTGCTCACAGCCTGGGACAGAGGCTTGGCAACGCCTGCCCCAGAGGACATGGCTGCGACAGGGGGACGGCATCTGGGTGGCTCCCCAGGTTCCTGCTCGGAAGGTCAGTGGGGATGGGCCTTCCCGAGCGAGAGGCCAGACTGCAAGGCCCCCAGGCTCACGGGGACCTGGGGCACCTCCATGGTTTGCCAGGAGCCTTGGTGACTCCACAAAGCCAGGCCGCCTCTGTGCCTGCGGGCCCCTGGCAGGATGCCCCAACCAGCGACGTCTGGGCAGCCCTGAGCGCGACGCAGGACCAAGAACCCCCGGGGCCCAGAGGGGCTCACAGGTTCAGGTCAGGCAGTGGGGGGTGGGCTGCCCTCTGCCAAGGGCACCTGTGCTGGGCAGCTGGGTGAGAGGGTGAGTGGGACACTGTCACTTCCTACCAGGGCGTCTGGGGCCCTCGTCTAAACACGGAGGCAGGGAATGGCCCCCCGGACTGTGGGGGTCACTGCTCCTCCTAAGGGGAGGCTGCCGGGGCCTGCAGCATGTCAGGGAAGACGGGCCTGGGGACACGAGCTGACCTCTTCCCACACGCAGAGCGGGTGCACACAACACCTGCATGGCCTGGCCACCGGAACGAGCAGCCAGACCCTCTCCGAGTAGGTTCCTGCAGCACCACGAGGGCAGCGCCCACACGTGCCGCGACCAGGGCAGAGGCCGGGCTTCCTAAGCCTGCTGGCCATCTCTCCAGGCACCCGCTGTGGTCAGACTGGGGGCCGCCCACTCCCACCAACGCCCTGGGACCAGGGACACCTTCAGCAGACTCTGTGGAGCACTGCCCCGGGCAGCCCGTGGCCCAGGGTCTCCACCTCCGCAGGTTGGTGGGCAAGCACCGTGGCATAGAGCGGAGTAACCCCTCACAGCCAGCGCTCCCTTAGCGCCCATGCAGCTGAGTGGAGAGGATTCCCAGAGGAGCTGGCATTTCGGGCGGGAAGGACATTCCAGGCCAGATGGACAGGGCAGCCTCACCACTTGGTCCCAGGGCATGGGGGCCAGTGGCCAATGGGGCGAAAGGGGCAGGGGGGCCATCAGGGGCTCCAAGGTCAGGTCACGGGCCCTGCATGAGACGCCAGGACCTGTGCCCACCGTGCCCACCCCTCCTGCCTGGGGCCTGGGGCGAAACTGCATGGGCCCTGTGGGGACTTGACGTCACCACCGCAGCCTTGGGCACTGGCGGGGGGTTACCCCCGTCCCCTGAGTCCCACGGTGCTGGGCTCCTGCTGGTGTGGTCTGCCGCCCCCAGGTGGGGAGAGGTTCCCCATAAGCAAAGCAGGCCTCACACGGTAATTCACCTTTTTTTTCCTTTTAATTCATATGTACAATATTTGTAGTGGTTTAAAAAATTAAAATATACATCTCATGTCAGACCTTTGCTCTCCTCTCACAGACGGGCCTGGGCCAGGCTCCGGGACGCACCCATCACAGCCCTGCAGGCGCACAGCGGGGACCGCGGCGGCGGACAGCGTGAGCTCAAATCCGCCGAAGGACGGTCAGCTGTGGAGCGTGCTCAGAGCCCAGTCCCCCAAGGCAGGTCCATGATGCCACAGTCCTCCAGGCCAGCGGCCACCCGGCTGCAGCAGGACGCCTGCAGCGACTGTCCGGGGCCAGGGGTTCCACAAGCACTCGGGGGAGGGGGCTCCTTCGGCGGCACGACTGAGTGCCACACGCACAGGCCCCCTCCGTGGTCACCCCCGCCTGAGCCCACCCCCCGGCTCCCCCACGAGCGCAGGCCTGTGGCACCAGGCAGCGGAGGGCGGCCCCCTCCAAGGGGGCCACGCCAAGCTCTCTGGGGGGCGTCAGCGACCTTGGAGGTGGTTCTCACACCCCCACCATCACTCCAGTGTGCAGGACCACCACGCGTCACCCCGTTTCGGGCACAGAGCAGAGGGGGACAAAAAGGCCAAGCGAGCTCGTGTGCCAGGAAGAGATGCCCACGGCACCAAGAGGGGACGAGTCCACTCTGCCAAACCACACAAGAGCCACCACGCTGCACGGCCCGGAGGGGCTTCCCCAGACGGCCGCGGGCAGCCCCGCTGACCCGCGCGGGGAGCTGTCTGCACCGCCAGGCTCGGCAGTGACGCCCGGCCACAAGGGGGGCTGGTGCCCGGGGAGTCCCAGCGCCGTCCTCGCCTCGCCACGTGTGCTGCAGGAGGGCGAGGGGACAGTGGGGGAGGGCACCTAGAAATGCCCCCTCCCCTGCCCAGCTCAGCGGGGCCGCAACAGGACACAGAGTAAGACGCACGAGTGCCTCGCCCACCAACTACCCTGGTTTCACTCAAATCTTCCCTGCGTCACCAGCAGGAAAACAAACCCTGTCCTCCCCGCCCCCTAACAATCCTCTCAACACAGTCTGGGGTGGCAAGGTGACTGCTGCCGGACACAGACTTTACTCAGGTTAGTCCCTTCTGCAGACAGCTGACGAGGGGGCCCGTCTCCTCAGCGGGACTTTGATGAGCAACCCCACCCCACCCTCAGACGTCTCAGGCACGCAGCCGACCCCACAGGGCAGGTCTGAGAAAGGTGGGCTTCTGCAGAGGCCTGCCGGCCACCCTCAGAGACCCTGACGGAGACACAGGTGCACGCCCACACACACGTACACTCCTCCACGGATGCAGTGACCTTCCCGAGCACTCGCACGCTCCCGGAGGGCATGCCAGTGTGTCTCTGGGTGGCACCAATAGCCAGAGCTGGCTGCAGCCCCTCGCTGTGCACCGACGGCCACGTGGGAACCAGGGTGGGCCCCTGCTCAGCTGGGCCCAGCGCTCTGACTCCGGAGGGGACGGGTCCCGGCTTCACGCTCACAGTGTTCTCCCTAACAAGGGAAAACACCTAAGCGCGGACAACACAGGCCTGCGACATGTCTCCCTTGGAGCTGCTGAAGGGACCCTGGGGCGAGGGCCGCAGTTCTAGAGTTTTCCCGTGTTCATAGTCACTCCGGCAGGCGTGTGGCTGCAAAGGCCAGAGTGAGCATAAGCAAGAGGCAGGAGGGTGGGGAGCTCACAGCCCTGCCCTCAAGGCCCCGGCTCCAACTTCTGACCCGTGTCCACCGCTCACACTGCCAGGCCCTCTGCGGGGTGCCCGGGCGCCTAGGGCAGCTCTGAGGAGGGGCTCCCTGCGCACTCTGACCCTGGCTGGCCCCCAACACGTGGGCGGGAGCGGGGGGCCTGCAGGGGGTGTGTGCAGTGGGTGGTATGTCAGCCAGACATGTGAGGGGGCGCCCAGGCCTCCTGCCCCTACAGACCCTGGACGACGGGGGCAGGTCATCCCCACTTGCCGAGGAGACACCCAACCTGATGCGCCTGAGCTCCTGACCAAGCTGGGTGGCGTGCCGCTGACCAGAGGCCCTGCTGTGCCGGGGCCCTGCAGAGCCGCCCGGAAGGGCTCTGCCAGCCCCCCATCACGCGCACCCCACTGACAGGCCTCATAGGAGCGGGATGACCAGGCTGCTCTGGGTCCAGAAACGAACTGGGCCAGGGCCAGGGCCTGGGGTGGGAGTGGCGGCTGTGCCTGGCGTCCCCTGCCCAGCACTGGCCCTGCGGGCACAGACCTGCACTCTCCTGAGCTGGAAGGAGGCCCCGCCGATGGACAGAGACAGGCGAGGCGGTGCTGGGGCCTTCCTCGACCAGTCGCCGGGACACCGAGCTCTGCTCCTGACACATCAAGCTGCTGCGCCCTCAGGGCTGCCGGCCAGCGAGCGGCTGGGCCCACGACGCAGGAGGGGCACGGGCCTGGACGCCGACACCTGCCAGCCCCAGGCAGGCCGGAGCCCAGGCCAGGGCAGGCGCGGGGGGCCGGCCTGACTGGCTAACTGCCCGCAAGCTGCCTGTCACCACCAGAGAGCTGCCCCTGCTCGGAGCTGACCGCCCACAGCCAGGACAGCCAGGCCGGCACCTTCCCCGCCCTCAGCAGGACCAGGGCTCCTGACCGGATGCCGGCGCTGCCCTGAATGCGAAACGGGAGCTCGTAACAGAGGGCAGCATGGCGGGAGCTTGGCGTTAGGGGAGGGGGCTGCCAGACAGCGAGCCCCGCGGCGGGGGGGGGGACACAAACCCCGTCCACCTGCTTGGAGGCCGTGACATGCAGCGCTGACCTGGTGATGCACAGACTGTACACGGGTGTAGAAAGTTACCTTAAAATTAATCTCTTTACTGATAGAATTAAACTTTAAATCCTGAGAAGACAGCGACGGGGAGGACAGCGGAAGCTGTCACGCTCCCAGCCCCCCCGCCTGGCCAGACCCGGCATGCGTGCCCTGCAGGAGCCCAAGACACCCCAGGACCCTGTGCCTCAGAGCCCGTGGCGTCCCCTCCCGCCTGCGGGACAGCGGAGGGCTGATGGCTCGCCGGCAAGAGCAGAGGAATCATGCCCCCCAGGTGGGAGCAGCTGGGACCTGGTGACAGCCGAGGGCGGGACAGGAGGAGCACATCAACACCCGGGCGGCTGGCTTCCACACCAGCTCCAGTGTGAGGCCCGCCATAGCAGCTCCTGCCCTGAGAGGACTCAGGCTCTACCCCAAACATTACTGCGTGTGCCATGCGTGCAGCCTCGCCACCATGCGGCGGGAAGCCCGTGCCACCTGCTGCCTGGCGCAGGCCGGGTCCTGCAGTCCAGGGGCCACCTCGTCGCCAGCCGCGTGGGCGCTCAGCACGCGGCGGCCTTGTGGACGCTCCGCAGACACGCCAACAGGTGGTGGTATGGGTTTCCGGGCGCGGCAACCACCTCGAACACGGACTGGAAGGCCCTGCGGTCAAGCTCCTCCTCTATCTGGTGCCGGTAGAAGTCTGCGGCCACCAGGCAGAAGAGGCTCACGTCCACCTGCTCCAGCTTGCCCATCCGGCTCACGACGTGCGGGAGGCTGGCCGGCCAGTCAAGGGCACAAGGCGGCAAGCTCGGGGGGACCCGCCCCTGTCCTCCCAGGGGTTCCTGCCTCCCCTGGGGCTCCGGCCCTGACACAGGCCTGCGGACAGCGGCGGGCACCGGGAGGCTCCCTAAGCTATGGGAGCAGCTGCCTCCCGCCTGGGTCCAGCCTCTCCAGCCAGAGGCTCCGCCTGGGAAGCAGGAGCGCCCTCCCTGCGGGGCCGCCCCTCGCGTCGCGCTTACCTGGCCTGGCTCCCACACACCCAGCGCAGAACCATGCCGCCTGCCCGGGCCACCCTCAGCGCCGGGACGGCTGTCTGCTCCGAGGCCCTGCAGTCTGTCTGGGGAAGGCTGACGGGAGGGGCCGTCCCCTTTTGGCAGCCAGCATCTCGGGGGTGGGAACTGGATCTTCACTAACTTCAGCGTTTACCCAGGAGGGTGAGACACAGCACGTGACAAGGGCTAATGAGAAGCAGCATGAGCGACCCGCCCAGCTGCACGGACCCGCAGGCAGACGTGGGGGGTCCTCTGGGGGCCTCCCCGCTCCACGGCCCCTCCTGGAGCCCCGCTCGGCGCAGGGAACACACGGGCTCCTGTTTGCTGGTCCGTGACTCACTCTCTTGGGGCTTAGAAGAAATGTCACCCAGACACCTGGGCTTCCTACAGAACTCAGGCTTCCAAAACACTGACGCAAACGTCAAGCAGGATGCTGACGGGATGGCGGGGCTGCCCCGGGGTCCAGGACCAGGCAAGGATACATCGCCGAGACCCACGGGCTGGTGGACGCGCTGACGAAGAAGCAGGAGAGACTCCACATGGCCATGGCAACCGGGCTCCGCTGCGTGAAGTTGGACAGGGACAGCATGACCCAGTCGCGCACCATGGACGACTGCCCCGCGCCGTGCAGCGTCTGGAACACCTGCGAGGAGGCCGCGGGCCCGAGGAGGCGCCGTCAGCGCTGGCAGGGGAGGAGCGGAGGGCCTGGCGCCGGCCCCGGGCGCCCCGCCCCGGCCCCTCACCTGGTACACGACGGTGGCCATGAGCTGCGGGTACGGCTGCTGGCTGGACAGGAACTCGCCGATGACCTTGTTCATGACGTCCTGGGGCGGGAAGAAGTCGTCGAGGAACTGGGGGAGGACACGCGCCACCACGCGGGCTTCGCAGGGGAACCCCTTCCGGATCCTGTGGTGGTGCAGGGGGGAGCCCGCTTCAGAGCCTGTCCCGCCCGCGCTCCCCAGCCCGGGGGGCTCCCGACCCAGCCGGCGTCCTGAAGTAACGGCACGGACGGCGGGGGCGGTGCCATCACAGCACAGCCTCTCGTGACAGACCTGCGTCCTCGTGAGGCCCTCAGGTGCGTGCACGCTCCTGGAACCTGTCAGCAGCCCTGCCCCAGCACCCCCGGCTGCCTGCCCTCAGCACACCCGCGGCTGGGCCCGTGCACAGGGTCCTCCCAGACCCAATAGGCAGCCAGCAGGCTACTAGGGCTACTGGCCATCAGCACACCTCCGCCGCCAGCCCTCCAAGTCCGTGTGTTCCGGGTGCAAGCCCCATCTGCAGGAAACTGAGTGCACGCAGGCCTCGGGGGTACGGAGGCGGGCCCCCTGCAGCAGCACACATGAGGGGCTTGCACGTCAGCAGACTCTGGAGCCCGTGGGGGTGGGCTCCCCAGAACCAATCAAAAAGCTGTGTGTGACTGAAAAGCACCGGAAGGGACCTGGAAACCGCCTGGGTGAGCCTGCTCCACCTGCCTGCAGACGCCAGCTGTGACCCCCAGACGCGAGACCCACACAGGAGAGTCAGCGTCGTCAACCCAGAGTCCCCCACACATGAGCGTGCAGTCAGGCTGAATGTCGGCCCTGCCGCGGTGTATGCACTCATCTCACAGAAAGACGAGCGTGAGCCCCCACGGGTGGGGCTGAGCGTGGCACCCTGCCTGCCTCCACGGGCTCGGTGGGGTGAGCGCGAGACTGTGGACGCTCACTGAAATAGGCGACATGGGCACAGCCTGTACGCCCAGCTCTCCAGAGTGCCTCACCCAGCCAGAGTGGACCTGGAGAACGTTCTGCGGAGTGTGCTCTCGTGAGCACCCGGGTGGCCGCCTGCTGACCAAGCTGACCAGAGCTGAGGGGCGCAGAGCAGAGCCAGCTTCCCCGAGACCACAGACACAGGCTGAGGCCCGGGGTAGAGCCGGACGAGGCGCCCACCGCGTCCTGGACACACACCAGGGCACACACGTGGAGGCGGGCCTTCACCCCAGGCTCTCAAGGATGCTGCCTGCTGGCAAGGATGTCCGAGGGCCACAAGAGCAGCCTCCCCCCGAGCCGCTGCTGGCGCGGCCCCCAGGCCCTTCTCCACACGGTGACAGCCCGGACGGCCACTTCCGTCCCGGAGCGGGCTCCAGGCCGTCTCCTCACAGGCCCCCGACACTGCCACAGTGCCCCTCGCCACCAGGACCTGGGTCAGCGCTCAGGACAGCCCTGGGGCCCCCCGTGTCCAAACCCGGGCGCTGGGTGCTGGGACTGCATGCAGCGTGGAGCCAGGGCACGGGCAGGAAGCAGGCTACTGGCTGCGGGCAGGCGGGCTCGCGCTCACCTGTCAAAGAGGACGGACACGCGCTCCATCGCCACAATCACGGACTCGCTGTCAGGGGCAGCGGCGCTGGGCTCAGACGTTCGGCCCGGACTGACTTTCTCCTTTCCTGGAACAGTGCCGTTTCGTGCTGCTAGTTTGTAAAACTGGACGGTTCTGGGAAGGGGTCCTGGCGCTCACACAGGAGTTTACTGAACTCCTACTGATGGTCTGACACTAGAAGGAGGGGGCCCAGCCCGCAGGGCCCAGCCGAGACCCGCAGGGCACAGGGGTCAGTCTGAGAGCCGCTCCGTGGCCCACAGAACTGGAGGCGCCTCCAGAAGCCCTGCGCCTGGAGCTCAGCGGTGCATGCGTGCCAGGCCGGGGCGCCCTGCTCACCTGTGTACATGCAGGTGAGCATGAGGCCCAGGGCCGCCATGGCGCGGTGCGGGCTGTGCACGTTCACCCGGTCCACGCTCAGCTTGACCAGGGACTCCGCATCCAGGCGGGACAGCTGCTCGGACAGCAGGAGGCGCTCCAGGCCCCTCAGGACGCAGTGGTAGACGACGGACGGGGTGGCCTCCTCACTTCCGGACAGCATCACCCCACACAGCTGTGCGTGGGGAAGGCTTCCAGTCAAAGGGCCGCTCTGAGCTTCCGGGCGCCCCGCCTCCTCCCAGGTGGGAGCCTTGGCCGGCCCAGCGCCCGGTCGCAGAGCACAGCCCAAGCCAGGCCGGCTCACCTGTATGATGGAGGCTGAGAACTCGGGTCCCACGTCCAGCGGGTAGTTCTCGATCAGGTAGAAGGCTGTGGCGCACATCACCAGCACGTGCTGCTGGCTGTGCACGTTCACGCAGCTGAAACCGAGACGTCGGCCAGGATCAGTGACATGGCTGCCGTGCTGTCTGCCGGCCCCGCGCACTGTCCTCCAGTCCCTGTAAGGAGGGCGACCGCGTGGGCCCCTGCCGGCGCCTCAGCCTTGGTCTGCTGCACGCGCGGAAACTGCGCACTTCTCACAGGCACCCCCACCCCCCGCCCCGCCGGACAAACCCGGGAGGAAGAGCGTGGCGGGGCCGGCCGCGCCCACTCACTGGGCTCTGCCCTGGAGCTGGGAGAGGAGGTAGTCACTGACGACGGGGACGAGCTGCTTGGCGGTGTCGTCCAGGAGGTCGCACTCCAGCACGTACAGGACGCCGTGCAGGGCGCCCAGCGAGCTGGGCAGGTGGCTGCTCCTGAGCGCGCTCTCCAGCAGCCGGCTCACCGGTTCCGCCACGGCCTTGTCCTGCGCACAGGCACACGGCGGGCTGGGCCGGCCCCACACACCCCGGGGGGGCCCAGGGAGGCTGGCCTCGCGCCGCGGGGTGCCTGCGTGCGG